CCCCCTGGGCTTGATGGAGGAGGAGGAGGAGGAGGAGGAGGAGGTGCCCAGCTTTCTTTGGGGGTGCTGAATCCAGCAGCCCCAGTGGCCACCTGCTCCTCTTCCTCCTCCTCCTCCTTTGCCTCCTCCTCGGCCAGTCCGAGGGTCATCATCTGCTGACCCCCAGGGTGCAGGGTATGACCCCTGGAGTATAACTCCTGGCCCCCTTCCTTCTCCTGGTGCTGTACCAGCAGTACCAGGGCATGGTAGCCCCCTTTCCACCTCTGCCAGGAGAGGAAGCCACCGGGGCTGCTGGAAGAGGAAGAGGAAAAGGAAGGAAGAAAAGGAGAAGAAGGAAGGGGAGAAGAAGGACCCCCACAGCCATTACCACTACCACAACCCCCAGGACTCCCACTCTGATAACCCCCCCTTCCTCCTCAGCCTTGACCGCCTCCTCAGTCAGTCCTGGGGGCCCTGTTCGCTGACTTCCGGGGCACAACCCCTGGCCACCTTTCTCCTCCTGGTGGTGCCCAAGCAGCAGCAGCAGCAGCAGTAGCAGCAGCAGCAGCAGGCCCCCCGGAGCTATGGCTGGAGAGGTCACCTGGCACTTGGCAGCCCTGGTCCATGCCCTCTGGATCTCCAATGCATGATTCAGTTCTCTACAGACTTCAAGATAGGGTGCCAAGGGGGTGGAGGGAGGGAGTGTCCCAGCCCATGGATTAAGCGGGCTTTTGTGGTTTTGTGGCTTCAAGTCTTTTCCGACTGATGGTGACCCTAAAGGTGGGGCTTTCCTGGCAAGTTTCCTTCAGAGAAGGTGTTGGCCATTGTCATCCTCTGAGGCTGAGAAAGTGTGACTTGCCTGAGGTCACTCAGTGGATTTAAATGGCTAAGCCAGGATTTGAACCCTGGTCTCCAGAGTGCTAGTCTACCACTTAAACCGCTACTCCACCTTGGTTGCCCTCACTACTGTTGTTGTTTCCCAGTGACTCCCAAACTCTGGGCATTTGGACTTCATCTCCCAGAAGCCTCAGCCAACTTGTCAGTCTCAGTCTGGGATTCTGGGAGTTGAAGGCCAGAGTTTGGGAGCCACTGTTGTATGCCTCGAAATCATTTCCAATTTATGGCAAACCTATCACGGGGTTTTCTTGACAAGGTTTGTTCAGAGGAGGTTTTGCCATTGCCTTCCTCTGAGGCTGAGAGAGTGTGACTTGCCCAGTGGGTTTCCATGGCTGAGCCAGGAATCAAACCCTGGTCTCCAGAGTCGAAGGTCCAAAATACACTGCTGAAATCATCTAGTTTGAGACTGCGGGCCTTTGCAGACTGCCAGAAATAGTGCACATTAAATTGAGGCACTGCCCTGTCTTAGTGCTAGGGAATCATGGGAATTGTATTTTTTTCTGAGACATTGAGCCTTCTCTGTCAGAGAGCTCTGGTGCCACAATAAATTACAGTTCCCATGATTCCCTAGCACTGAGCCAGGGCAGTGCCTCAATTTAATGTGCACTATTTCTGGCAGTCTGCAAAGGCCCTGCATTAACTGCCCTGGCTTAGTGCTAGGGAATCTTGCAAAGTGTAGTTTTGTGAGACATTTAGCTTTCTCTGTCAGAGAGCTCTAGAGTCAAAACAAACTACATGTCCGAGGACATGTCCGAAGACATTGCAATAATGCAGTTGCATGCCACTTTAACTGCTGCAGTGCCATCTTACATCATCATCAAATCCCATTTTGAGAGAAAGGTAGGATACAAATCCAACAAATTAACAATAATAATAATAATAATAATAATAATAATAATAATAATAATCCTGGGATTTGTACTTTTGCAAAGGTCTTTGGCCTGCTCTGCCAAAGTGGGTTGGTGCCTAACCAAACTATGGGGGGTTGCAGACTGCCAGAAATAGTGCAAATTGAGTCCACTTTTAGGGTTAGGGTTAGGGTTAGGGAATCATGGGAACTGTATTTTATTGTGGCACCAGAGCTCTCTGACAGAGAAGGTTCAATTTCTCAGAAAAAAAACAATTCCCATGATTCCCTAGCACTAAACCTAACCCTAAAAGTGGAGTCAATTTGCACTATTTCTGGCAGTCTGCAACCCCCATATGAGTCCCAGGATTTCTGTAGAATGGAGCCATAGCAGTTCAACCAACCAGAGTCTGTTTCTGCAACCCAGGAAGCAGGTTTAGAAGAGACAAGCTTGAGAAAGTTACTTTCTTGATCTAAAACACCCAGCCCATAGGGTTCTGGGGACATTATCACACATGGGCCAGAAAGTGATAATAAAGTGGAAATGA